CGTAATAAAAGTACCACGTGCTTTTCGTCACAATCACACCAAAAAAAAGCAATAAATCAATCAACCGGTTGACGTAAAGTCATCATTAGCACTGCCTGTCTTGTATGTGTACCAAAACTCAAAAACCAGAACAAAAAAAAAAGAATGTTCGGTCTCGACCCGTAAAAAAAACTCATCGAACGGCGTGTCTCTTATTGCTGATGCAAAATATTGTATCGTCTGACTAGGGCACAATTTGCCACGAATGGATGCAAATAGTGCAGAAGGAGAACCGACATTGGGGAAGAACCCAAGTCAAGCAGACTCGAGCTACTCTCAAAGGTCCGTCGATCTTCTCAACAGACCACGTCGAATCAACTCGTCGCAGATACCGTGTCTTCCAACGAACGAAGGACCTCCCGTGCCATGTTCTCCGTTGTCTCAACATCGCATTCTCGATATCACCACCTACGAACCCCAACAGCTTGTCATGACCGCTCCCCTGGCCCAAGACGAGACTCAACTCATGCCTTCGACTCCCAAAGATCTCATTTCACCAGGTGTAAGTACCGCACTTGTACACGCTTGTGTTGCTAATGATGGACTTATTATTATTATTATGTATCTATTCTGTGTGATGTCTGTCACATCCAATAACGACAAATTTTGACAATGTAGGTGTGGCTACTGATATTTATTTTAAAAAAGGGCTTGATCATAGTTTTATTGATTCAATCTCAATCATTAGTTCAAAGGAGTAAAATCAATAAAGCATTCCTTGGTCTAACACTAAAAGAAGGTCTTCCAATTATTATACTTTCCTAGACATCTCCATTTGAGAATTCTGTCTCGTTTACTTAGCATTTAAAGGACCCGTTACAATCCTTGGAGGAGAATAAGCTGTACAGTTAAACTGGCTGCAATTGGAGTATGATTTTATTTATGGCTTTCTGATGAAATGTTTTCGTGGCATGTAGTCCAAAAATGAAAAGTTTCTAAACGACAGATTAAAGTAGTGTGCGATTTTCAAAATATCTCTATATGTTTAATCCAAAATCCTTGAATCTAAAGAGAAGCACGCAAGGATGTCTGTGGAGATAGTTATCATGATCATGGTAGACTTCACCTTTATGTGCTGCTCTACTTTTATATAGAACAATTCTACAAATTTAGAGTATCTGAAAAGTACATCACCAATTACATTAGATAAGTTGAAAATTGTGCGCTGTTTTGATCAATGAATCAGAAACTTTCTATTTTTTGGCCTAGTGTCCATGAGAATTTTTCTCCAGAAAGCCGTAAGGAGCATCCTACTTCAATTGCAGCCAATTTGACCGCTGCCGATTTTCCATGAGGATTGTGAGAGTTCTTCAACTACTCCACACAGTAGTGCTCTGGAGAAGGCATGATTTAAGCTTAATGTTAAGTCCTTGGAAACCTGTGAATTAGTCTAACGAAAGTATAATTACTGATCAAGCAGTTTTTGTAACTTACACAGTGACATGCACCTTCAATACCATAATAGTATTATCCTAAGTGTTTTAACCGGGATTGTACCATAATATATATATACATTTTAATATTATTGCTTCATTGAGTAATTGTCAGTGTGGAATGTTATACATATTTAGTTCGTTCCCTTTCTATCGTCCTATAAACATGTTACATACCAGTTTAATTATTATTATTATTATTGTTCTTGTTATTTACTATAATGTTAAATAACCGGTATGCTTATTTGAGGCTTTCTTCTATTACTTATTAACCTTTTTTGGCAGTCTGTATGCACCATTGTTCTATAAATTTCGGTGTAAGCACATGTTTGTAAATAACGAGAAAATATTTTACTGAAAACGTTCCAATAATTTCTAGAAGAAAAGTTTATTAGATAAAAAATCGGTAAAGTTAACCTGTTGCTAGATTACATGAAGGGTGTTCCAAATGGAATTGTTTATCCTAACCAACAATCTAATTGCCAACATACATAAATTAAATACCATCTATTTTTTTTAAATATTAGCTATTCTCGATTAAATGAGCTTTTTACAACATAGCTCAACTAAATAGAGAAGTTTTGGTAATATGTTGAATTTTAAAGTACGTAGTATCATCAACATGAGGTTTTTAACCCGAAGACTACATGGACACGCACCTCCACCTCTTCCTATCTTCAGTCAATGTTCGCATTTCTCATAAATTAGAGCAACATAGTCTCTAACTATTTGCGAGATGTAATCCAATCTGCATTTACTTCTGTCCTTCTTAACTTCTGTTTGAGCCTCTAATAGTTACTCGTCCCATATGTCCAACCAACCCATCTCTCTCAATAGCGCCCTCTGTTCTCCTAGTAGTTCTATCCACGGTATTTTTATGGTCCTGTTGTAACAGCATGCTTCAAACGCTTTTAACGTTTTCTATTCTAAAGCTCCCTCCAACCTCGTTTCAAATCCATACAAAATCAATACTTTTGTTATATTTTTATATATTTTCATACCATCATCATAAGGTGGTCAGTCCTAAGACTGGTTGGACACGCACCTCCTTCTTTCCTATCCTGAGCTAATCTTCGCATTAGAACATCCCACATCCATAACTATTTGTGAAAAGTAATCTAGTTTAGGTCCACACCTACCCCTCTAATGTATGTAGGTCTACCTCAACCTTCTTAATTCCTGCTTCTGTTTCTAATATGCCTCTGACTAAACCTTCATGCCTGAGAAGGTGTCTTACCAACCTATCTCACCTATTTCTTATTGACTTCCATGGAATCCTCTGTTTTCATATTCTTTTTAATACCTTTTCATTTCTAACCTTCTCCATCCTCGGTATCTTCATCATTCGCTTGTAACACCACATTTCGAACCCCTCAAACTTTTTCTTTTCCGCCGCGCCCATCGACCATGTTTCGCACCCATATAGCATTGCGCTCCGGACATACATCTTTAACAATCTTTGGGAATTTCTAAATTAATTGTTCGCGAGCATAGAAGTGACTTCTTTTTAATGAAGACGATTCGACCATGCGCTATCCTCTGTTTTACTGCTCTTTAAACCTACATCTAGCTATTTTTTCCATAGATGCTAATACTACCACACTTACCATTCCCAAATATAACCATCCTAATATTTTGTCACTTAAGCTGCCCTGTCTAACTCCCTTTCTATATAATATTTATTTGTCTACAATTAGGTACTATCCACAAACATTGTCTAAACTTAGCAAAATCTGTATTTAATATTCAAATATTCACAATTTTGGTTAAGTAGTATCATGGATATAATGTAGTGACTATCCAAATTTCTCAGTTGTTAAGTAATTGGCAGTATATTGCATTTCATAACATCTGACAAAAATCTTATAAAGGTAGCTACTTGTTAAATTAGTTATACAACGTAGCTAATATACTTAGTAGCAGTAATTAATAACGAATATTAAATTCTTGGTCTGCAAGTTATGCCCAAGAAACCTTTGTAACAGCCCCCCCTAGCAATCATTCTCACCCCCCCTGAAAAGGCTCTAACTAGTCACGAAAACGGTACAAAGTTTAAAAATATTCAAATCAATTAGATAAAGCGCACTACTTATACTATAAACTTACAGCTAATGAAAATTTGCCCCCCCCCTTAGGAAAAATCCCTCGCAAAAGCCTACACTCGTTTATTGTTCAACAAAAAAATGTGTGAAAATTTGTTAGCACTTTTATTTTATCGAAAGGATGTTAAAAAAAAACAAAAGGAAGTAATAAGATTGTAGTTTAGGATGAACATTTTTAAATTAGGAAACTCTAAAAGTGTTTTCAAATATTTTTGCTAACTGCTAAGGGTGTACATATATCTTGTAGGCTAACGTCAAAATATCGAATGCCAACAAGAAGTGTGAGAAATTTGACGAAATTCCTAACGAATTCGAGTGTTGCTTTTGCACATCAAAGGTAGTACCCTAAAAGATATATTTTGTTATTACCCACAGTGATGCTTTTTGTTTCAAGCTTGTTGCTCTTCATTCAGTTTGTATCTACTAATAATGACAAGCAATTAACTAATTACATTTAGCAGACGTTAAGGATAAAATCAGTTGAGTGCTGTAAATTTACATATACCTCATTCATATACCTCATTGAGATATTTAAATTCATTGTAGTTTGTCAGAGGTTTTAAAAATTGCAACACGCTGCGAACCGTTGCACCGCGAAACACAAATAATGAAATTTCACTAATGAGTCGGCTATTATAGAAACAGTACTTAGGTACAAAATATGCATGGCACCTACCAAGAAAGCTAAAGATGGGAACAGTAACTTAATCCAAAGCGAATGGGTCTAAAAAGCATAAACACGAAACGGTCCGCTGCGCGATGAGTAACTGCGCATCAAAATCTCCTTAGTCGTGTTCATTACATCTTTTTGTGCGCATGTCCACGATTTTGCACATGCGCAAAGAAGAAAATTAGTTAAACGCATGCATTCTTATGTCTAAAATTTGTTTTGTTTTGTTTGTGTGTAACTAATTATTGTCATTGCGCATGCGCAAAATCGTGGGCATGCCCACAAAAAAATGTAACGAACGCGACGCACTACCTTACTGCGCAGTGGACCACCGAGCAACTTTCACGGCTTGCTCCGTACATTTAGCAAGCAATATAGTTTCATCTTCCATCTCTAGTCTTCTTCGTACCTACGTTGGAACAAAAAAATCTTGACCACTGAACACTTTTTTGCACGTTGCATGTACTTCGTGGTGGCATGTTAGTCCTTTTTTTGTTTGGCATTATTATTAATCGATGCAATGTAAAAAAAAAACTCCAAGGTGCGGATGCAATTAAAAAAGTCTAAGGTAAAATTGAGAGTAGTGGTACCTTGCAGGATGGCCGCTGCCGAGAAGAATGCATACCACTACGTTCCAAAACAGTCTAGAGATGTATTGGTTGCCTTTCCTTCTTTAGAAAAGTTACTTTCAGGTGAGTTTACGGTCAGGCGACTAAACAGCAATAAAGAAATTGACGAAACTTTAAAAAACACAAAAGTAAAAGAAATAATAGAATAATATGATGATAAAAAATAAAATACATTGAAGAAGTTTTAACTAACAAGATTTATTAAATCCTGATGAATTTCTAATGCTTATTGGCCGAAACTACACCGGAATGTAGGTTGGGAGCTTCCTATTCAGCCTCCCATTAGGTATTATGGGAATGGGTTGAAGATGGTTGGAGACTGAGAGATGAGAGGGGCGCAAAGAAATCAAAAGAGACGTGAAAGATTGTCTGTGGAATGTTATTATTTATCAATTCCCTATTTCTTCCCTTAGTTTTAATGTGAACAAAAGAATAAAGAGCAAAAGAGGGCGATAATGTCTTTATTGGTTATGGAACCGATTCTTTTGATCACATTATTGTTTATTAATTGAGTTATCCAAGAAAACCTTAGACTTAGATCAAGATATTCGGACCCAGAATTGAATCAGTTTCTTCTTTATACTAAGTAGTAGTGCAAACTTCTATGCATTAGCTAGAGTTTCAAACATTTGCTTAGCATTCGGGAGGACAGCGGTTTGATTTTTGGGTCATTTAAGTAAATGCTGGGGCTGTAATAATACTCCAGAAACAATTTTTTATTTCCCTTCTGCTTTCAAATCATCCGTCTCATCTGCCTCTCTTTAACCATCAACCAACTCAATTCCACGATTTCTAAAACAAAGTTGAAGAGGATCTTCCTCCCTACACACTGTCTTTCCATCGGAAATACTTCCCACTCTCCCCTTTAGGTACCAGGAATGAAATTATTTTGCAGCTCAATTTCCCTTAAAAATTCCCGAAATGTTTGCTGTTGATCAAAACAACTTCATCAAAATTTAGTAAATCTTGTTAAGGAAACTATTTTTTATTTCTTTTTTTCAATGTTTTATTTCTTATTAGTATATTATTCATCATATTTCACAAAAAAACACCAAACGAAGTTTAAATTTAAAACAGATTATAATTTTCAGTACTAACTTAAAATGCATCTTGCATATCGATCCTTTGCAAAATTTTTACAAAATTCTCTCTTTCATTTTCTTAATCCCTTCCAAGAGTATTATGTAATTAACAATTTAAGATTAGATTAATCAATAATGACAGGGCGCTTTCGCCGTTACAAATTGATGTAGGCGTAGCAATTGTTTCAATAGCAGGCGACGATTAGCTTCGAATGTTTTATTATTAATGAAAGTCTAGTTCATGATTGGCTGATTCCTAAGCTTTAATTAATGGAAATATTTGAAACAAGCTTATTTTTAATCAGTCAGTTTTGAGCTCGATATTTTATTAAAATCCATTTTTAGAAATGTCTCTCATTTGATATCGAATTATATATTTAATTATACGTTAATAGTTTATTATTAAAATAAGTATTTCAAAGTTCGCTTTATCTGAAGTTGCTGTTTAGTCAGTAAGTTATGTATATATTTCACTAAATTTATAAACAATATTAATTAACATGAGGATGCCTATTGTACACGTCGGAATAAACGAAACAAAACAATACTCACAATATTTAAAGTATTTCTCGTATAATTCAATAAAATCTTTACAGAATATTAATCATATAATTTACATTGACCTTTAATCATTGTATAAAAACGTTCTCAAATCGCGATTTCGATCTTATTAGATCTCATTAGCTGATGAAAATGACCAAACCAAAGAAACTCCTAAACATTAAGTTTATATAATATCCACGTATACAATACAGATAGTGCATCTCCATCTAGTTGGTATTTGCTGCTACTGAAGTATTTTATGTATTAGTCAAGGACTTACTGGTCATGAATTTAATAAACATTGTATGTAATTAATATTGTTTATATGCCTATTATCCATCGATTCAATTAGGCAAATTGGTATCTCAGTAAGGTCTTATCGAACACGTGAAATACTTCAGTAGAGCAAATACCAACTAGATGGCGATATACTGCCTGTACTTTGATTATTAAATTATTTTTATAATCTAAACCATAAACATTTTGTAGTGAGAAATGTGTAGAGAATTGGGTAAGGTATGCCATTTGTAATAAAAAAACAGGACAGACGAAAAAAGATATAAGGCTATAAAGTGAACAATAATTAGGAAGTGTAGGGCAGCTAAGGAACAATGGATTGATAGGAGGTGTAAAGAAGTAGAAGAAAAGTTTAAAGTAGATAAAACCGATGAGGCTTATAATATAATTAAAAGGAATTTTAGAGATGTAGGATATAGTAGTAATAATATAAGAAACGAGGCAGGGGACATTTTGATAGACGATAAGGTAAAGGCAAATAGGTGGAAAGAATATTTAGAGAACCTATACGCAGGCCATGAGTTATGAGATATATTAGAGAAGGAAGATAGTGTGAAGATAGATGAGCTAGGTTATCCCATAATGAGAGAAGAGTTCGATAAAGCATTAAAAAACTTAAAGAATAATAAGGCGCCAGGTGTAGATAGGATACAGGGGGAAATTCCAAAACATGCAATAGAGAAAACGACAGAAAAAGAAAGGAGTCCATACATAGGATCTGTCGATTTTGAAAAAGCTTTTTAAATGGGACAAGATATTAAATATACTTAAAAATGTAGGGATGAGTTAGAAAGATAGAAGAGTGATACTTAGTTTGTATAAAGAGCAACAGGCAGTTATAGAGCTGGGGCTGCAACGTAGAAAAGTAAATATTTGGAAGGGAGTCCGACAGGGATGTACACTGTCACCGGTACTTTTTAAACTATAGGTACATCGAATAGATGCTGACAAAACAGTACTGTATGAAAATAAATAAAAGTAAAACAAAAATACTGGTATGCAAGGGAAGAAAAAATAGAAAAAGAGCGAATATAAAGATAGGAGACGAAAAATTAGAAGAAGTGGCTGATTTTAGGTATTTAGAAAGTCAGACAAGTCAGGACGGAAGGAGTAGTAAGTAAATAAAGTAGTGGATAGCGCAGGGTCGAATCGCCTTCAATAAAAAGAAGTCACTTCCATGCTTGCGAACGGTTAATTTAGTCGGAAAAAGTTGTTAAAGGTTAGTTTGGAGCGTGACGTTGTACGGGTGCGAAACACGGGCAATGGGTGCGGCGGAAAAGGAAAGGTTAGAAGCGTTCAAAATGTGGTGTTACAGGCGAATGATGAGGATACCGTGGATAGAGAAGGTTATAAATGAAGAGGTATTAGAAAGGATAGGAGAACAGAGGACTCTATGGAAGTCAATAAAAAATAGGCGTGATAGGTTGATAGGACACCTTTTCAGGCATTAGGGTCTAGTCAAAGACATATTAGATTACATTACTGTTCGCAAATAGTTAAGGATGTGGTTGTTGTGTGTTGTTCTATTATTATGGAAATGCGAAGATTAGCTCAGAATAGGGAAGAGTGGAGGTACGTGTCCAGTCAGTCTTAGGACTGACGACCTTATGATGATGATGCCATTTGTTTTAAGAAAGAATTACAGTATAAACTCTTTCTAGAGATTTCTTTTTCGTAATAGACGATTTTTGTTACATACCTATTACAATATAGAAAAATCCACAGTATTTATTTGGTTTGCAGAGGATTACTAATTTCCTTTGTATGACACAGATAATAATTTTCGAATAATTATAAAATATCTAATTCAATACCCCAAAGTTAATATTCTATACAAGAAACACATTAACTGCTTATAGCGTCCGTAGAATTTCACTGTCGCAATAACCAGATTGTATTGTATGTACATATTTAACATTTATACTTATATTAAAGATTAAAGAGTTCGGTCTCAAATTTATGCTATAATTTGCAAGATACTGGAAGAGTCTTTCAATTCATTTTCTGCTAACGTCAACTTGTTGCTAGTTTGCTTTTACTTGTTGAGCACTACTTCTTCTATTAATGTGAGAATCATTGATCTGAATTACAGTGTTGACTAATACTCGATCGATCTTTTTTTTTTTATTAAGGTTTAATGACGAAAACTCTTTTCGTAGAATTTAATGCAAAATTTTCAAGAACTAGGAATAAATGATGGATAACTTTAAGGGTAATTTCAGTTTCACGAAGTACCTATTGTAAATTATTGATAAGTATTGATCGGAAATATATACAAAAGGCATCTGAATCAGGCAATTAATGATATGGTACACACCACTTTACATGTTGTCAAATAGATAAATAGTTCATGGTCATATTTCACATTTAGTTATGTTCGTAAGATCCCAGAGTTTTAAATTTATATTTGTAGTATATTCTAATTGATATATAAAACATAAGCAAAATGATGGGGTATGGTTGCACCCATTGGTGACATGACGGTCACACGCATATTAATAATACGGTACAACACACCTCGTAACCAAATATTCAAATTTTGGATTGAACATTACTTAAAGACATTAGTTTTTACACACGACGCTTAATTTGAGTTGGTAACTCTAAGTATGTTTGAGTATGTATGGTTTAATTTAATTTTTAAACATTGCGTTTAGTAGGTAAATATTAAAATGTTTACGTATATTTAAATACTTAAATGCAAAATGGTTTTTTAAAATTCCAATATTCGGTGAAGGTCTAGATGATGGCCCCCACCCCCGAAAGGGGGGGTAGGTGGGATCGAAAGAGGAGGTCTCCCCTACCACTGTACCATAAAAAGTTATGGGGGTTCGATGATGGGTAGGGGGGATCGACAGAGGGTGGTCACCTGAGTAAAACCCCATAAAAAATTTGCGGCGGTCTCACCCCCATAAAAAGTTATGGGGGTTGAAAGTTGATTATTTTGACAATTTTCATACACTATAATTCAAATAAAATTCAATAAAAAAATTATTTTCCTACACTTTTTAGACAAAATATTCCTTTGCATAACAAAATGGCAATTTCATTTTGACTTCTCCATATATAAAATTAGATGCAGCGTAAAATAATGAACAACAACAGGTGAAAAAAGGGTCAATCAGGGCAAAATTCCGAAGCGGAAAATAGACTTTCTTTCCAAACGAGGCACAACTATTATTTCTTATTGTGGTGCCCAGTTGTTTACCTAAAGTTGACAAACCAGATGAGTTATCTATTCAAAATCATTACAACGTGAAGGAGCTCAAAGCTCAAATAATANCCCCCCCCCTTTGGGGGTGGGGGCCATCATCTAGACCTTTACCCAATATTCATTTTGCAATCATGCTTGAAAGTTGGAGGGCATTAAAGACAACAGGCGTAATCATGCCAATATTGGGAGTGTTTATTAGCAAATGTAAGATCAAGGCCAATGTAGGTCTTGGTCTTCCATTTGGTTTTAGTAAAGTGGTCTTAACGAACAGGTTATATGAAACACCCAGTACATTACACTTTACCCACGAATTGATTCTATTTTTAATTAGTTTAGTTCAAAAAGAAATAATACATTAATGTATATTACCTTTGTCAAATTGCACATTTTCACGTCACATTTCAACGATTTAATACATACATGCCTATGTAGGTACTTGTTTTTAAGTGTTACGCCTTTTCCACTTTGAAGGTCGACTTGCAAATAAGTTTTTGTTCTTGCCAATCAAAAATTAATGCAATTTCATCACGAGGTTTGTACGTTTAAAAATTTTGCACGTTAGGCATAGATCTATTTCTACAAAAAAAAAGTAATCAATCTTTGCACGCATAAAAGTCGTTGTTGTCTTTATTTTTTACGTAGGCCAAAGATCGCCTTTGCAGCACAGTGCACTTCTATTTTCTTAGTTGTTTTTAGCAACAGTTCTATTAAATTTTTTGTAATTATTTATTTCTGTGATGTTTTACAATGACTTGTTGAGTTCTAGTGGTCTGTGGATGATATTAAACAAATAGAAAATCTTTCTGAAATAGTGTATCTTAGATTTACTAATTATTATGTGCAGTTGATGGTAAATTCGGTTCATAGCACACAAACAAAAAAATTTTAAGCAGGCCATTCTGTACCTCATCAGTCATTTTTTTATTTCTCTATGAAAATAATGCGTGAATTGTTTAGATTATTCGATCTACAGATTTCATAGAAAAGGTGCGATTTTATCTTTAATACATTTTTAATTTTCTTTATTTTATTCAATAAACAGGGATTTTCAAAAATTATCCGGGAAAATTAGATTCCTTCGTGGAGTACGCAAGTATTTTTTCCAATTGTCTTTTCTAAATTATTAAAATTCTAAGTTTAGTAGATTGCTTTACAATTAGAGGTATGGAACTCTACAATGTGCAGAAAAATACCATTGATTTGAGTTCTTTAAGGGTTGTTTCTAATCCCTTGCTTGCATTATTGAGTCTAAATACGGAAAAGACTTGAATGAATGTTATGAATCGAATTCGACTTGCACTAACAACCACGATAAGTAGCCAAATGAAGATAAAAAGCATTTTTTGAATCCACAACCCCCGTAAAAACCATAAGCACGTTCTTACAATCTCTGTTACAGGATTTCAAGGAATTCGTTGATGCAGAAAACCTAATGCCTTTACCAACGAGTGACTTCCATAATCCTGTGTGTCTCGAGATGAAGACTCTCCGCAATCAGAGCCTCTTGGAGGCGGAAAGGTTAAAATTACTCGTACCTTTCACTTATAATAACGGCAACAATAATAATAACAACAATAGTAACGTTGACATGGGCAGCATGGACAGCTCAGATACGTTTGCGAGCTGTAACACTCATCCATGTCCATCCCAAGGAGATTTGACATCGGATGTGGTTGATCCATCCTGCGCTATCGACAGCAATCTGTATGTGAATCCTCTGGATAAGAGTAGTGATAATAGTCCGACTACGCCGTTTTCTATGAGACCTTCGGTGAAAAAATCGGCCTCGGGTGACACGGCTCTGAGAAGTTTGGCTACCACGCCACTCGAAGAAAATCTTATGGGAGAGTTTGGAACCATCGAACGAGGAAGTCGAGTCAGTCTTAACGATTCGCCATCCATGAGAAACAGGAAAACTAGATTTCAGCAAGTAAGAAAAATTGTATTTTCCATATCCATAAAGATATCAGAATTCGTTTCCATCCATTTACATTCCATTTCTTATGTTATTTCTACCATGCAACGAAAAATCACATAAGAAAAACCTAGTCACAGAATTTTAGACATTGAATAATTGATTTCTGGTTATTTTTTCTGATTTTATTTTCTTCTGGTTCAGTCAGGAAGACTTCGAACAAGATTTGGTAATGCAATGGAAAGGGGTTCTCAGGATAGTTTAGAAGGAAAGAGGAATACAAGGAAAGCTCTTATTTCGTCCAAAGGATTTGCTTCAGCCACCAGATTAATAAACCAACATCTGTTCGGTATCCAAAGCCTTGGTGGAACCAAAACAGGTAGGAGATCGAGATAATTCTTGCTTCCTTAAAAGGTAAACGTTAAATACTTTTTAACAGGAAAGAACTGCGAAAGTAAATCTTCACTTTCCATGGATTCCGTAGATAGTAGAACGGGTTCATCTGTAGAACACCACAAAAGATCAAAATCAATTCTCAAGAAATCAGACGGAGGAGGAAGCCACAAGAACAACGCAGATCCTGAAAGCGAGAGACTGATCCAAGACAACGCATCGAACGTAGACATGGAATTTTCATCCCCCAGTAAACAACGTTTCTCCTCTCCTCCTTCCATCCATAGAGCACTCAGCCAGAAAACCCTTAATAGAACTATGACAACCAATCCAAAAACCACAGTGGATAAAGCCCTATCATCACCGTTGTTCCTTCTAGACGACTTTAATAAGAAACAAAGTTATGGTGAACAAGTGACTGGAGACAGGGTGAAGCAGTGTGGTAACAACATCAGAGACATACCCCTTTACATTTGCCCCCCTCCTCCACCCATGGATCAGTCCCCTACGGAAGAGACCAGGTTGCTTTTGAACCCCTCGGGGACATCTCTTCATAAGCAACCGAATAATTATTTATCAAATACGAACGGATCTTCTTCGTAGCATAAATGGGTAAGTTAATACTTCACTTTAATTTTAAAATATGGAAGGTGATTCACCGAAACCGTTCAGTAGAATTATTAAAAGGGTTGCGTTGCTTAATAATGTGAAAAAACTTTGTTTTTATAAACAGTAAAACTGCACATTTTTATTATATATATAGGGTTGTTCGGAAAGTCATTTCGTTTTTTTTTGTGGAAATGAAAGACCGTTTTCGTATAATAAACAAATACTCTATTAAATTATGTATTGACCGTTCTGGTCCAACACCTTTTGCCATCTTTCTGGTAGTAGCATAATTCCACGCTCAGAAAATTTTTGGTCTTTGCTGGCAAAGGAGGTTTTTGACCTCCTCATTTGAGGTGAAGGTTTTCATCATCATCATCATAAGGTCATCAGTCCTAAGACTGGTTGGACACGTACCTCCACTCTTTCCTATCCTGAGCTAAACTTCGCATTTCCCTAAAACTAGAACAACCCACATCCTTAACTATTTGCGAA